TTTTCGGGTCATTATACTAATTACGGGATACTATACCAATTACTACGCTAATTCTAAGGTTAGTATTTTCTTTGATTGTGATTTTCTAGAAAGAATTGAGACAATAATCGTATGATTGTTCCTTTACTATAGATAATCGTCTTCTTCCAGATAATCAATACTGATCTGTTAAAATATTGACGAACGACGGTGAAGATGAAAGAAAATGGAAAATTATGAATTATTTCCTATTTTGATCATCATGGTGATCGCCGGAGTTTGCGGTAAGATTTTCATGTTGAAATTAGTTGAGCATTATTGCGGAATTAAGGGATTTATTGTTACTACGGTAACAGTATAATACAGTATGATATGATTATTAGTCAATTCTGTGACAAATACTATCGATCATTGACTTGTGGATACATTTACCTTCTAAATTGCCAACTGTTACAAAAGCAAATCCAACCACATAATCAAATATCATATAAGAAATGGTGAGTCAAAATAAGTGAATTTGTAGCAACAAAGGAATTTTTTAATAATAACCATCCGATCAATCATGTGCTAATTTTATCCAATGAAGTTATAGAAATGATTTTTTAACTGAAAAACATGGCGCACCCCAATTTTCTTGTAAAAGTCATCTTAATCGTTGTTATAATTGACCGAGATCTAACTTGATCTTGGACATAATTTCTTGATAATCTAAATTCATGCAATTATTTTCCTGCAAATTTTCTTGCAATGCCGGCTCACAATCACTATACACTTTTGCTAATTTCTTGTGCAACTTTTCAAAGAACCAGCACATTAGATTATTGAATTGAGTTTCGGCATGGGTAGCAAAAATCCAATCATCAAAATGTTTGCTCTTCGCCTCGCTCCATTTCATCCCATTCGGATGATCTACAAAATGGACTATAGTTTCATCAAGGATTTTATGACATGTCTTTGCGGACAGATACTTTGTGTTTTTATCTTGCGTTCGTCCTAGACCACCCGGCTGGTGACATGTATGATGTCTTCTTGTGTCGTCCATATTCTCATTATGTTCACGTCCTCCCCAGCATAGAGCTCCACACCAATAACAGTGTGTCGTGCACCCGAGTCTTTTCATTACATCCTCATCTTCAGATAGCTTTTGAAATAGCACAGGGATAAATTTAACAGTATTCCTTTGAGCTTCTAAACTCCTCATCATGGTGTCACGTAACATATCTAAGTCCGATTCAGTCATTTCACTTGTACCTTGTCTCATTTCATATTCAACCCCTCCAACTTGAGCCAAATAATGTTTAACAAAGTTTTTAATTTCCTCGATATTTTGATATTTACGAACACTGGTAATGACGTGCTCAGATTCGGTTTCAAAAATTTTCCTTGTGCTTGATTGGGATATTCATCAATAATCTGTTTGATCCACTCGTCTATTTGGTGATATTGCATTAGCAGTTTCTCCATTTTGAACTTCCTCGGCCAATTTCTCAAAGTACTTGAGTCGTACTTGTTGATTGTTTATTGTCCAACTCAAATTAAGTACTGCATATTTATTTTCATAATTTCCTGCGTTAACTGCTTTCAGTTTGATTGCCTGAAGTAGACAATTTTTCCTTCAGAAGCAAATGAGAAACCATATAAAAGTCGATGATTAATCAATGTTTTGTATTCATGCTGCCTTTGTTCAAGTATAACAATTGGGTTGTTTTTCTCATCCCATTTCTTTTGGGCTTTCTCCATTTCTTCGTGAAACTTTCCCAGAGCAAAGAAATGAGCGTCCCATATGGAAAAAGGCAAATCTTCATCGTTCCGTCTGAATCTGAATGTATTCGTTATTGTTTCGTTTATTTTGTTTTTCAGTTCACGTACCATCCCAGTCTCAAAATGGTCTCTTTTTTTTTCTCTCAGCATAACTCGCCCAAGCACAGCGAGTTTTTCCTCAAGCATCAAGGTTATTCTTTCGTACTTCTTGCTTGAAAAAATATTTTTAATATTTTTAATGTGTTCGGCATTTAACGTCTGTGGTATTTTATTATCTTGAAATCGACGGCAAAAATCCGATACATTTTCATACTCTATTTCCAGTTCTTTACTGATTTTTCTTTTAGCTGGTAAAACGTTCTCTTTAGAGCGTGCAAGTTCTTGAAGAGACTTCCAAATCTTGTCAGTGATAGTTTTCTCTCTTATTAAATTTGCTTGCTATTTGTTTTTCTAATTCTTCTTTCAGACGACATGTGATTACGTTCATGAACTCTGTTGTACAACCTTTAGTTTATCAAAGAATTCCATTCTGATCGTGCTTTTTCACATTCCTGACAATCATGAATTGGAATGTTTAAATTCTCCAAGATGCTCGTTTCGCAAGCATTACGTAGGTCGTCCTGGTTGTTTTTCTCCAGCCAATTTTCTATCTTTAATCGGATATTCATTGAAGATTGCTCTGCATGAACCCCAAATGCCAAATTAATTTTTTCTTTAACTTTTGTAATTCTCTCTCCCCATTCAATAAATTCATACATTTCCTTTTTATTTTTAAATTGGACAGCAAAATGCTCATGCGATACAGATTCCCAATAACTTTGGACTAGCTCATGTCATTACTTGAACTCGATCTTGTTATGTGAATGCTTGCAAGCATCGAGTATATCCTTGTATAGTTTGGTGACATCTTCATGATATTGTTCAGAAGGAGGCGCATAGGCACTTGCACCATTTTTGAACGGGTGAAATTGTTTGAGAAGTTCGCCTTTTTG